GTTATCAATACGGAATTGTGCATTTGAAAAAGGAAATACTATACAAATAAAGTTAGTTCACATCTGAATGTGCTTATAGGGATAAAAAATATATCTTAAAAAATAAAGTAAAGATCATCTTTTAAAATTTAATACTATATCTGGGAAATATTTCCATTTATAAGCCATTTTAATTATTTTACCTTGAAAACATATGTATTAGATCTGGTCACCAGTAATTTGTTTTCTCTTTCATTTTCTTTCTCCTAGAAATCTGCCAATTCCCACATTTATTTTTCAAGATAAGATTTTGGGATTATTTTGTCAAGTCTGTGCTTCTCTTACACTCAAAATAGGTATATGTGTCTGCATATAATATTTCTATACTGTGTGAAATGTAGATATATATATATATATATCACAAAAATATGTAAATTTGGATTGCATTTAATTTACATTTAAAATAATATTGGTGCTTCCAATGTCATTGGTGAAAACTATTTTATTTTTTCTTGCCTAATCTTGGAATGTATTATTTCTTTTTTTTATTTCATTGCAAAATCTTTTAGGAGAATGCTGGTTAGAACTACTCATGAACATTTTCAACTTGGTTGCAAATTTAAGGAGAAAGAGTTTAGTATTTCCACAATGACTATGATATTTGCTAGAGGTTTTTGGGTAGATAAACTTTATTAGATTAAAGAAGCTCCCTTCTATTTCTTGTCTGCTCATTTTTAATATGAACCTCTATTGAGATAGCCATATGGTATTTTTCTTCATCCTGTTAATGTAGGAATCTACATTTATTGATTTTTGAATGTTAAGCTAATCTTTCAAAGTTTCCTCATATAAATCAAGTTGAGTATGATATATTATCCATTATATATTATTGAATCTGATTTATTATAATGTTGTGTAGGATTTTTGCCTGTGTGCATAAGAAATATTAACCTACAATTTTCTTTTAATATCCTTTATGGATTTTACTATCAAGGTCATGCAAATCTCAAACATGAATGGAGCCATCTTATATCTTATCTTATTTTCTGGAAGAGTTTGTATAACATTTGTGTTATTTTTTTCTTCAAATATTTGAAAAAAAATTAGCCAATGAAACCATCTGTTTCAGGAATCTGTGAAAAAATTATTAATTTCACATTCATTTTCTTTAATAGTGTGACATGGTAAAAGCCCCATAAAACTGTAGTCCTCAACCATACCTCAGCTTTCTATTGGAACTGCTCTCCGAAACCCATATGTGACAGCAAGCAGTTCAAACCCATGCCATCTTGGTCCCTGTGGCTTGTAATAAGTAATTAAGGACTGTAATTTCCACCCTACCCAGACAATGTATAAACAAATGCTAATCTTGACTTCTGTGAACCACTTAAGTAACAATCAAAATGTCAAAAGTCCCCTGGCCCTTGGGCCCTCCAGAGCCCCTCACCCTCATCTTCACCCAGGAATCCACTGGAATGTCCAGAGCCCTTCACCCTCATCTCCGCCCAGGAGGTGATTTACAGAATCCACTAGCCCTCAGAACGTCTGAAGCCCCTCACCCCCACCCCTGCCCCTAACCCTCACTCCCAAGGTGGTTTTAAGGGCATAAAATGTCTTAACACCCTCCTTTCGGGGCCACGGGTTGGAGAGACGCAAGTCCTCCGTGGTCGCTGGCAATAAAGACCCTGCAATTTGGCATACTTTTGTCTTGGTGTTAACTTTCCATGCTCGGGCCAGTATAACAATAGCATAGGAATATTGATTTATTATTTTTTCCTTTTTCAATTTTGAGCTGTGTTTTTCAAGTGACCTGTTCATTTCTTCTAAGTCACAAAATGTATTGTCATAAAGTTGTACATAATTACGTTAAATTGCATTGTGGTTCCAATTCTTCCTATACATATGCTTGTCCTGGCCACCTAACTGAGCACAGCCTAATCAGTCGAGATCCAGCAGACCCACAGACATATGAAAGAAAATAAAGAAACATTAGTTTAAGCCACTTAATTTTGAGATGGTTTATTTTATAATAGGCAAACAATGAACCCCCAAAAATTTAATAGCTTGCAGTATATGTGATATGGCTAATTTGTGACTTCTCCTCTTTTCTTGATAAGTTTTGCTAGAGGTTTAACAAATTTATTATTTTAAAATATTTATTTTTGCTTCTGTGTTCTTGCATTGTCTTAAATTTTTGCTTATATTTATTATCATCTTCCATGTTTATGTTTATGTGTGCTCAATATTAAGCTCTCACTTAAAGGTGAGAACATTTATAGTATTTGGTTTTCTGTTCCTGTGTTAGTTTGCTTAGGATTATGGCCTCCAGCTCCATTCATGTTACTTCAGAGGACATTTTTTCATTATTTTATATGGCTGCATAATATTCCATGATGTATGTGTATTATGTTTTCTTGCTCTGATTCGCCATGTATCTTTTCTGCAAACATGTCCAAAAGTTCACTAGTCCTTTCCCTACTCTTTATGATTCTTTATTACAACTATCTAACACATTCCTAATCTTAGTCTTGTTTTTATCAGTCCTCAAATTTTCATTAGAAAATTTTGATGGATTCTTAGTCTCTCCCGCAATTCTTCATCTTCTCTTCCATTTTCTTGACAGGTTAATGCAAACTATTTTAAATATAGTATCAGAAAACTGCAATATCTGAACCATATATATGTTTCTATTCACTTCTTTTCTTTGTCTCCAGTTTGTTGTTCTATATTTTAGCACATTTTTAGATGCTGGAAATAACAAGTAAAAATTATAGTGATTCCTTCAAAAGTGCTTCATTTTCTGTTGGATAGTAAATAAAAGTCTAGTAAATAAACTTGATCCTGTGAAACGTTAGTTTTAGGTTTGGGTAGGAATAGACTGTTTCAGTTTTTACTTTTTCTTAGGGTATGGCCCTTCTGAGGGCTTAAGAGAAAACTTGAATTGTTTGCCAAGTGAAATATTGGATGTGTCTAGAGGGCAGAATAATGCACCACCCCCACCCCACCCAGCCAAACATACCAATGCCCTAGGAGCTGTGAATACTTTAGGTTACATTGCAAAAGAAAAATAAGTTTGCAGATAATTAAGTTTGCCAATAGGCAGACCTCAGGATGGAAAGATTATGTTAAATTACCTGGGCGGGCTCAGTGAAATCACAGGGGTTCCTAGTGGAAGAGAGAAGCAGGAAAAGGGGAACCACAGAGACAGATAGAAGCATGAGAAAGATTTGACCAGGTATTGATGGTTTTGAGAAATACAGACAGCCTTTAGAAACTAGAAAATGCAGGAAAATTGACTCAAATTATCAAACCTTCAGAAGGAGAGAAAGAAAAATTATCTTTGCCCCTATATGTGTTTTTGTCTTTCTGCAACATTATGGATGTTTTCATGACTAGAGAGAGTGCTAGCTAAAGTGGTTTTATAGCAATACGGAACTATCCAGTGAACAACATGTAGAGCTTTTCCATACTTTTCATGTTTCTTTATTTCATTCATTCAACAAATACTTGTTGCATGGTTTCCATTCTGTGCTGCCTTCTATTCTGGACAATGGGGATAGGATAATGAATGAGAATGTAAATTCTATGCTACATATTTAACAAGAGGGAAATCACGTGTTTTCAACAAAAATAAATTGCAGATAAGGGAAGCCTCACAGAAATCCTGTTTGCATTACCTGTTTATTTCACTAATGTAGATTTTCTTTATAGGTATAAATGTATTTTATAAAAGGACAGCTTTTCAGAGCGAATTCTGTGTCTGCAGTTTCTGTGACTAACCATCTCAAAATATACCAAAGAAACGTACTTTGGGATGATGTGTTTTAATTTCCCACACATATTTAAATCAGAATTAACTGGAAAAAATATATAATATATCCAACCATTTTACTATAAAATGTCAGGATTTATGTCAAACATAAATCAAAGACTCTAATCTCATATAATAATTGTGCAGCTTATTGCATATTCCACTGAGATGGTACCTGTTCTTTTTTATTTCTTTACCAAGAAAACAGAAGAAATAAAATAATTAGTAAAAATGCAAATTTTATGTTGTCTAGGAAACCACATTTATTTATAATGAATCACTATGGATGTGAAAGGAAAGTGGTTTCACACAACTTGAGAACAGGACAGGGTTAAATGTCCTGCCTCTGGCATCAAAGACCTTGCCCATCTCTACTTCCACAACTTTTTGACTCCTAATAAATATAGTCCCCATTGAACTATGCTATTTACAGTTCCAGTTCAACTCCCTTTTCTGTTCTTTTTTGTTGTAGAAACCAGAAGTTAAACTTAAATAATTTATTCTAAAATTATAAAATTATGAGTATCTTTTCAGATTTTATTTTGAAGTGTTTTTCAGAGTATGTGTTATAATTTATTACATTTATAGGATTTGTAAAGATTAACTCAGTGTACTTGACATACCTACCACTTGAAATATTTATCTTTTTTATGCTAGCATCATTTGAATTTTCTTTTAGCTATTTTGAAATATACAATAGATTAGTGTAAACTATTGTCATCCTACTGATCTATCAAACCACATATTTGTATCCATTAATCAACTTCTCTTTATCCCTCCTATCCCTGTCCTTCCCAGCTTCTGGTAACCACAAATCTATTCTCTAAGGTTCACTTTTTCTTTTAAACTGTCATATATGAGTGAAAAGATATGACATTTGTCTCTCTGTACGTGGCTTATTTCATTTATCAAAATGACCTCCAGTTCTATTCATGTTGCTGAAAATGACAAAATTTCATTACTTTTTATGGCTAAATAATATTCCATTATATATTATACCACATTTCCTTTATCCATTAATCTGTTGACGGGTATTTAAATTGATTCATATTTTGACTACTATGAATAGCGCTACAATAAACATGTAAGTACAGCTGCCTTTTTGATATGTCGATGTCCTTTCTCTTGGATATATACTCAGTAGTAGAACTGGTAGATCATATGGTAGCTCTATTTTCAGTTTTTGAGGAACTTGCATACTGTTCTCCACAGTGGCTGAGCTAATTTACATTGCCACCAACTGTGTATGAGGATTCCCCTTTCTCTGCATCCTCGCCAGCATCTGTTATTGACTATCTTTTTGATAAGAGTCATTGTAACTGGTGTGAGGCGATATCTTATTATAGTTTTAATTTACATTTCTCTGATTATTTTTATATATTTGTTGGTTATCTGTATTTCTTTTTTTGAGAAATACCTATTCAGATCTTTTGCCCATTTTTTATTGGATTCTTTGGGATTTTTGCTCTTGAGTTGTTTGAGCTCCTTATGTATTCTGGATATTCATCTATTGTCAGATGGATAGTTCACAAGTATTTTCTGCCACTCCATGGGTTTCTCTTTACTTCACTGATTATTTTCTTGACTATGCAAAACTTTTCCATTTGATGCAATCCTACTTGTCTATGTTTTGCTTTGGTTGGCTGTGCATTTGAAATCTTATGCAAAAAATCTTTGCCCAAAGCGAAGTCCTGGAGCATTCCTCCAGTGTTTTTTTTCCACTAGCTTTCATAGTTTTAAGTCATAAACTTATGTCTATAATTTGATTTTGGTGTATGGCAAGAGATAGAGTCTAATTTCATTCTTCTGTATATAGTATTTAGTATTCCCAGCACCATTTATTGAAGACTGTCCTTTCCTCTTTGTATGCTCATGGCACCTTTGTCTGGACTCTCTATTCTAGTCCATTGGTTTATGTGTCTGTTTTTATGTCAATACCAGCCTGCTCTGGTTACTATAGCTTTCTGATAATGTTAAAGTCAGGTAGTGTGGTGCCTTCAGCTTTGTTAATTTTGCTCAGGATTGCTTTGCTATTCAGTGTCTTTTGTGGTTCCACATACATTTTAGAACATTAAAATTCTATTTCTGTGAAAAATGCCGTTGATTTTTTTTATAAGGGTTGCATTGAATCTGTAAATTATTTTGGTTACTATTGTCATAGTGACAATATCACTTCTTTGAATACACGAGTATAAAATATATTTCTATTTGTGTCTTTTTATATTTTTGCCATCATTATTTTATAGTTTTCTTTATATAAATCTTTCACTTCTTTGGTTAAATTGACTCCTAGGTATTTTATATTCTTTGTAGCTATTGTAAATGTGATTATTTCTCAATTTCTTTTTCAGATTGTTTACTGTTGGTGTTTTAAGTGCTACTAATTTTTGTGTGTTGATTTTGTATCTTGCAACTTTGCTGAATTCTTTTACTAATTATCTTTAGGTTTTTCTTAGTATAAGATTACATCATCTGCAAACAAAGCTAGATTGACTTCTCGCTTTATCTCTCTTGCTCTCTCCCTTCCTGTCTTCCTTCCTTCTTTCTTCTTTCTTTCACTCTTTCTTAATTTCTTATTTCTTTTCTTTCCTTTTTTCTCACTTGCTTGCTTGCCTAATTACTGCATCCAGAAATTCCAGTGATATATTCAATAAAAGGGGGGAAAGTAGGTATCTTTGTCTTGTTACAGATCTTAGTAAAAAGGCCTTCAATTTTTTTCTATTCCATGTGAGGTTAGCTGTTGGTTTGTCATTTGGTCTTTATTATTTGAGGTATGTGCCTTCTGTAACTAGTTTGATGAGCAAAGGAATCTTGAATTTGATTGAATGCTCTTTCAGTATCTATTGAAATAATCATAGGGTTTTTATTTTTGGTTCTGTTAATGTGATGTCACGTTAATTGATTTGTGTGTGTTGAACCATCTTTGCCTCACTGGGATGAATCTCGCTTAGTCATAGCAAATGATCTTTCTAACATGTTGGTAAATTTGGTTTGCTAGTATTTTGTTGCAAATTTTTATGTCTATGTTCTGTAGAATATAGTTTTCTTTTTTAATTATATCCTTGTCTGATCATAAGGGTAATTCTGACCTTGTAGAGTGAGTTTGGAAGTATTTTCTGCTCTTCTTCTTTTTTTTTTTTTGAAGACTTTAAGAAGAATTAGTTAATTCTTCCTTAAATGTTTCATAGAATCCAGCAGTGAAGCTTTCAGGTGTTGGGCTTTTCTTTGATGACAGACTTTTTATTATGACTTTGATCTCATTATTCATTATTAGTTTATTGGGGTTTCTATTTTTTTATGCTTCAATCTTGGTAGATGATATTTGACCAGAGATGTATCCATTTCTTCTAGCTTTCCAAATTTGTTGGCATATCGTTGTTCATAATCATCTCTAATGAGTCCTTGTTATTTCAGTTGTCACTGTTGTTATGTCTCCTTTTTTTGTTTCTGATGTTATTTATTTTCGTATATTTTTTGCATTGTGATTATCACTAGGCTTACAAAGAATGTCATAGATACAACAAGTTATTTTAAAGAGATGAGAACTTATCACAAAAAAAAAACAATTTTTTCTTCAAGTTCTATACTTTAACTCAGTCTCCTCTACATTTTTACTTTTAGTTTTCTCAGTTTACATATTTTTATGATATCTATGTCTTAACAGGTTGCTGTCTGTAGCTATTATTGTTTGTGATACATTTGTCTTTTGGTCTTCATAGTAAAAGTGTAAGTGTATTGTATACCACAATTAAAGCACTATAGTATTCTGAGTTTGTCTGTGTACTTTTAATTTAATCAGTGGATTTATACCTTCAGGTTCTGTTTGTTTGTTTTTCTTTTTATGTTGAAGAACTCCCTTTAGCATTTCTTGTAAGATAGGTCTGGTGTTAGTAAATTCTCCCAGCTTTTGTTTGTCTAGAAAAAAACTTTATCTATCTTTCATATTAGAAGGATAACTTTAGTGAATACATTATTCTTGAATGAAAGATTTTGTTTTTAATTTCAGCACTTCAGAACTGTCATTCTACTCCTTCTTTGCCTGTATTGTTTGTTGCTAAATTGAAACTCCTGCATAAATTACTTGCTTCTTTTCCCCTGCTGTTTTAGGATTATCTCTTTGTTTCTGACCTTTTCAGATTTTATTATATGCCTTGGGGTAGTATTATTCCAGTCAAATTTGGTCCTCTTTGACTTTCCTGTATCTGTATATTTATATCTTTAATAGGTTTGGGAAAGTTTTCCTTTTTTTTTGAATAAGCTTTCTACCCTTTGCTCTTGCTTGAGTCCCTCTTGAACACCAATCATTCCTTTTCTTTTCCTTTGTACTTATTTTTATTTTTATGTGTATTTTTTGTTATACTTTAATTGCTGGGGTACATGTGCAGAACATGTAGGTTTGTTACATAGGTATACACATGCCATGGTGGCTTGCCGCATCCATCTTCCCGTTGTCTACATTAGGTATTTCTCTTAATATTAGCCCTCCTCAATCCTCCCATCCCCTGTATCTCTCCCCTACCCACCCCCACTCCCCTGACAGGCTGTGGTGTGTAATGTTCCCCTCCCTGTGTCCATGTGTTCTCATTTGTTCAACACCCACTTATGAGTGAGAACATGCGTTGAACACCAATAATTCTTAGACTTGGTCTTTTGAGACAATTTTTTATATCTTGTAGACAATCTTCCCTGCATTTCACTTATTTTTTCTTTTTTCTCCTCTCACTATTTTAAAATTGGCCGTCTTTGAGCTCAATGGTTCTTTCCTCAACTTGATCTTTCTGCTGTTGAGAGATTCTATTAATTTTTTCAGTTCCTCAAATGTATTTCTCAGTTCCAAGACTTCATTTTGATTTTTTATAAATTATTTTAAGTCAGGCATGGTGGCTTATGTCTGTAATCCCAACACTTTAGGAGGCTGAGGCAGGTGGATCACCTGAGCTCAGGAGTTGGAGATCAGCCTGGCCAAATCGATGAAACTCCGTCTCTACTAAAAAAAAAAAAAAACAAAGAAAAAAAAGAAAAAAAATTAGCTGGGCGTGATGATAGGCACTTGTAATACCAACTACATGGGAGGCTGAGGCAGGAGAATCACTGGAGCCCAGGAAGAGGAAGTTGCAGTGAGCTGAGACCATGCCATTGCAATCCAGCCTGGGCTACAAGAGTAAATTCCATTTCAAAAAAAAAAAAAAATTCAATCTCTGTTAAATTTCTCTAATAATTTTTAATATTGCTTTTCTGTGTTATCTTAGAGATCACTGAATTTCCTTAAAGCTACATTTTAAATTCTTGGTTAGCTTTGTCCATTTGGGGAGATCATCATTTCCTGTTTGCAGCTATTTCCTGTAGATGTATATCTATGTCCTTGCATTGAAAGATTATTTATTCCAGTCTTCTCTGTCTTTTTTTTTTTTTTAATATATTTGCTTAAAAGTTCTTTTCTATAGGTCACTGTCTTTTTTCAGCTTTAGGTGGTGCCTTAAACCCAGGTCCACCTCAGCTCTACTAAATGTTTGGTGGGCTGCCCTTCGCAAATGGAGGAGGCCCCAAAGGGGCTATTTCTGCAGTGTGCAGTGGTTAGATAGGGTTTTGTGCCCAGAGGGCCTCTGGGATGAACCTCTTAGAGCATGGTGCTGCTGAACAGCCACTCTGATTAGGCATCTCTTATGGCTAAGTTACAAAGAAGGATTTCCAGAGGTAAGGATGGTAGTCCTGCCTGCCTTCTTTTCCTCTGCCTGTCCTCAGGGATATTTCTCCCTTCAGGTACTTGTGATGTTTCCTGTGGGTTCAGGCAGAAACAGGTTTCTTACCATGGAATTAAAGGTGGTGGGAAAGCTGGTCCACCTTGATCTTACTTTTTCTGGTGTAGAAACAGTCTACTTGGGGAAAAAATTCCCATGTACTTGGTATCAGGCAGAATAGCAGGAGAGATGTCATGGATGTGGAGGTCCTACTCTCTTACTCTCTGCTCAGTTTTTTCATTTCTCTTTGGCCCTGGGTACTGTCTCAACTTCGTATTTGAGTTCTGGGACAGTCTTGGAGCTGTACGTTAGTTTCGCTTTTCTGTGGCAGGGTGTGGGTAGTCAAGCCGGTTTTTGTTTCTATGCCACCATTTTGGAACCAGAAGTCTAAATGTTTATTATTTTTAAAGCAACCCATGAGCAAAGATCTCAGTGCTCTAGATACTCCCTGGTTCCTACTTGGAATCTAGGATTAATTCTGTAGTTTGGTCCTCATGAAAAAGTGATGGTCTTCTGATTTCATCTTTCTTAGGACTTCTGCTTGATTGTGGTATGGGTTGACATTTTTACTTTGTATTTCTTGAAGAAATTTTACTTAACTAAATATTTTGGATAACTCTGGGATTGGAGAGATTGCGTATTGGGGATGTAAGAAATTATTGCTCTATTGCTTATATGATTTAAGAACCCTACCCCAACAAATTTGTTGATAAAAATATCATTGGAACTTACAAATATGTTATAGTATGTGTCCTGCCAGATTTTAAATGCACACATTCTTAATGAACTTTGAAAGCATTTTGAATTGGCTGTAATTATGGGTATTTCCAAAGGATACTTCAGTAAGTTTTAATTCTCATTTCACATTCCTAGTTTTAAGTCATTTTTTTCTTCTAAATATTAAGCTTGTTTTCATTGCAGATACCTCTTTGAGTAAGATTTACAAATAAACTTTCTCACTCTGTAAGACCCCAAGCTAACTAAATAAATATTACAGAATTCAAACCTGATCTCTTTCAGAATGTAGGATGCACCTACACCATTATAGGTTTTTGAAAGAGGGAATGTTTTTCCATGCAATTGAAGAAGTCCATAGGGAGAGGGAAGTGGGAGATTCATTTCTAATTAAAAGCTTTTAGGCCATTAGGTATGGTAGGACAAGTGAAAGAGAGTGAGGTATATTGGCAAAAAACTAGAAGGACCCAAAATGTAAGAGTAAAAGCTTATAGTAGTTTCCTAACTTGAATTTTTTCTAATATGTTAGACATAAAATTCCATAAAGGAAAATAAATAAAATGTTACTT